TTGTGATGGTTGAAATGCAGTAATTACGACAAACATTGTACATCTTCCATCGCACTTACCGATGCATACTCCACGTAATTATCTCCATCAGAGCCCTTACCGTTACTTGCCTGTTGCGTCCCCCTTAATACCCCTATAATACTCCACTATATAAACCCTTACATAACTCACCTGAGACCATTTATTTAGACAAGCTCATGTAATATGGAGGGCAGCTGGCTTACACACGTAGCCACTCTTGGGCCAGCAGAATCTGTTAAAAGGTCAAACGGTTCCCTTTTGGGATAGCATTGAACATTATACCTTTGTAGGTATTCATGGATTCATTATCAGATTAATTCTAACAAGAGCAGAGGCCTTTTGCAGTCATTTTTGGCATGTATAATACGCTGTAAAGCTGTATTCAGCAATGCCCCAGTCAAGTGCGGAGCTACTTATTAGTATCGCCATTATTATTGCCACTATAGTAGTTTCCATGTCATTTTCCATTCTCCCTATATAACCTATACAACCCTAATATAACCCTAACATAACCCTCTAAACTCCTAGTATCCCCCTGAATAACCCCGGTAGTAGTCCCCTATATAATCCCCTATATAACCCCCTTTAAGGAGTTTAGACTATAGCTCATATAACCCCTAAAGGGGTTTTGGCACCTTCAGCCCGTGCTTTCGTGGCGCATTGCGGTCTCCCTCGAGGATCACGAGAATGGGATCTCGGTATGAGGAGGGCCTTGGCCGCAAGCTTGGGGTTATTAGGGTTTAGGGTTTAGGGGTTTTAGCCTTCAGGGCTTACTTGGAGGCCATGGGACTTAGTAACTGCTTATAACTGGGATTATAGACCTATTTAGACTTGGGTAGCCCCTATAAGCCCATTGAGGGGGATCATAAGTGGGGTTATAAGCACAGTTATAAGTAGTTACTAAATCCCATGGGCCTCCAAGTATGGTTGAGTGTTCAGGGTATGGGGTTTAGGGTTGAGAGTTCAGGGTTTAGAGAGTCAAAGGGTTCATATGGCTACAGAGTAATTTACCTCTGCCCCAAAGTCGTGATGTGGGAATCCCGGGGGCCCCAAGTATATCCTAGAATAAACTGTAATAACCTTCTGGGCAATTGTACCTACACATCCCAAGTTCTAGAGACTGGGGCTGGCGGCCTTTCATGGCATTTACATGCCTCTGCATATGGATTGTATAAGAACACAATTTTTAAACAACACTTGCAGGTTTGAGATCTGCTCGCGTCCCCATCAGTGCGCGATAAGTTTAGGGAGATAGCATATGCCAGGTTTGCGAACTTCGCCGCCTCGAAGCTGGCAAGAAACATCTTGGGGAGTCCATAATTAAACGGGAGGCCCCAACACAGACCCCAACATGTGAAACCCGAACGCCTTCTAAGAACTATAAATAGTATGATTCTTCATGCAAAGCCCAATATACATCCCGCATAATAATATAGTAGTTTCCATTTATCTTTCCACTATTCCCATATGAGCTGTAGTCTAAACTCCTAGTATCCCCCTTAATATCCCCTATAGTAGTCCCCTATATAATCCCCTATATAATCCCCCTTTAAGAAGTTTAGACTATGATTTATATAACCCCAGTATAAACAGCAACCCAGTATCCGTTGCCAAGCTGCACTGCAAAGAACAACAGTAAAGAGAAGCACGCAAAGTCCTTAACATGCCCCTAGACCCAATCCCTCAGTACGGTGGATACTAAAAATCCTGCATGACCCTAAATACCCTGAACCTTGGGAATAATGGTACTATACTATACTACGGTCATGCAGGATTTTTAGTATCAACAGTATGTCCATAATAAGGGGTCATATTAAGGGCTACGTATAACTATCTTGAAAGTATCATTCAGCTGTTACAGAGAGGGAGCAGCATCCAATCCATAATGGTTGAGTACAAACCAGCTCGCGATAAAACGGCAGCTTGGTTCTGGACACGAGCTCAGAGAAGAGAGCAATCTTCATGAGCGCCATCAGGGGCACACTGAGCCTCAGAGCCAACTGACTTCCAACAGAGGACGTATAGTGAGATTTTGAAGCCTCAGCCACCAAACCGTCTGAAGATTGCTGACTTCCTTTATTCTGCCGTAGTTCTACCATGCTGAAGCGCGCTGGTGCACAGGTCTCAAGAATCTGTAGACAAGGTGTCATCTTCGGTTGCAAATGTGGCACGAAACTCAAGGTCAGCATCGAGTGTCCAGATACAATTCAGGCCAGCTACATCTTGCTTATGGCATTTGCTCTCATGACCAGAACCATACAATGCAGAAAGTAATGTCACGGGACATCGGGAAGGCCTTGCAAAGAGTGCAATAGTTTAGGTGGACCCCCCACCCTGTAATAGTGACTATAGGGGATAATAGGGATTGTATTAGGGTCCTCTTATGTTCCTAGTATACCACTATTACAGGGTGGGGGGTCCTCCTAAGCTATAGTTTCATTGGAGCGGAGAATCTCTCTGGGCCCCTGGCAGCATGCCTGTCGGCCCCCAAAGGTATCCAAATACTCCAACTGACCTCAGAGCCGGTAGGAGAGCACTGCTACAAGGGTTTAGGGTTTATGGTTTAGGGTTACAAGTTTTTTGCATGAGCTTTGTAAGTAAGTACGCCAAAACACCAGAATCCTTTAGCTGGAAGGTACGCGAGAACATCAGCAGGAACACAGTATGGGCTGGGGTTCAATGCTGTAGCAGCCTGAGCATCTGAAATTGGATCTTGAGGAGGCTACGTACATCAAGAGCAGCTTGTTTGGTTTCGGATCGCTTGTGTGGGAACTGCACTCTCCAAATTGGTACTGGTACCTCAGCTCGAGCCCGCGGCAAGAGGATCATTACAGGATGCATGCGGAGCTTCTTGTCGCTCTCAATAAGCTTCACCTGTGCCGGGGGTCACAAGCTGTGGACACCAAGGACGTGACTCAGCTCACGAGACAAGGACGTGACTCAGCTCACGAGACATAAGCATTCACACTTTTCTGACCAGACTGACCTTTCCTGATCGAAGCCTGCCACGTTCCAAAGCCCTGGGCTTCAAGTTAGCTCATGCCTCGATTATGTTGCTGAATGCGAACTTCAGGGCCAGCTGTCCGAGAATGGCCACAAAGAGCACCTGCGGCAATCGTAAAACATCTCAGGAACAGCCGTGGCCTTGACAATGTCGTATTCTGGAATGGCAGGGGGAAGGTAGGAAGGCCATCAGTTAGTGCCTAAACCCTAAACCCTAAACCTTATATGACAATATCCAAGGGTGTCAAAACCTAAGCTCTCCGACCGTCTTCGGTAGCACAGTGGTCAGAAGCGGTCACAAAAACATGATGAACATGAAGCTAGATTTCCCCCAAAGTCCTGCATTCCAGCATATCATGTACAAGAGCTATAGGAAAAGGGCACCCGCGGTGGTTCCGGATAACATGTATCATAAGTATCACTTCTTGTCATTCTTTGCTTCGCGTTTGTTATTGCTAAGGAAATACTTCTTGCTCCTACCCAAAAAGGCCTCTAGGTACTTTCTTGGGTGGTGTAATAGATTCTGTACCAAAACCAGCAAAAACAGCTCAAAAGGAGGTACGTGGGATCCCCTGCTCCTACCTGGACCTCCAAGGTAGGCAGAATTAACCCCAAGCCCATGTTGAAAAAAGTCAGTGTTTCGGGTTTAGGGTTTAGGGGTTGTGTTTAGGGTTATCATTCTATATGCTGTACCCTAAACGCTAAACCCTTAATCCCTGCCCTGAATCCTACACCCTTCCTTAAGCACCATCGGAGGAATCTAAGCTCCCGAGCCAGCATGGGCCGCTCTATGCGGCTGTCGAGGATGATCACCGGGCATGGTAGAACCTTTCTGGAGGGAATGATAAGGTTTAGGGTTTAGGGGTTTAGGGGTTTAGGGGCTTAAGGGTTTAGAGTTAGGGGAATTGGGTTCAGGATTTGGGGTTAGGGTTTAGGGGTTTGGGATTCAGGGGTTTAGGGGTTTAGGGTCGAAAGGCTTCGGGCTAGGGGCTAGGGCACCTCTCCTGTACTAAGGGGCATATATGGGGCATACTAGTTACTAGGGGTGGCATGGGGATTATGTAAGGGAACTATAAGGCTTATGTAAGGCCCTTTTGGGGGCCAGAATAGTTCCCTTCCACAATGATGAACCGCCACCACCCAATAAACATGTGTGTGTGTGTATGTATATATATATATGTATGACCCTAACGCATAATAACACTATGTTGACGGTATTTCCTTTTAAGAGACTGGGGGGTTGATAAGTAGATACTGACGCACATAAGAACTGTGACGCTGACACAATGCACTCAATATACAAACGGAAGACCTCACCATCAGAATATTTCATAGCTGTGGTGGAATATTTTACTGAGGGTGGAGCAAGCGCCTGGCAAGATTTTACTGTCAGCTGAGGCGGAAACCTTAATACAACTCTCGGTATGTTCCTCCAATACGGAGTCTGGAAGTCCTGGGCACTAAATCCAGCACTTACCCTAGACCCCAACCCTAAACCCTAAATCTAAACCCTCAACCCTAAATCCAAAACCCCCAACCCTAAGTCCTAAACCCAAACCCTAAACCGCAGAACTGCGTTAAAACTCACCCAGGCTCCGGCTCCGGCAGCCTGGAAAGCTGAGATTCGGGCCATGGCGATGAAGGGGCCTACCTGACACACCAAAGCCCGCATGAAGGTTTAGGTTTTTGGATTTAGGCTTCTTTTATCGGACCTTTTCTCCAGAGTCAATGCCTCCAGGATGCTACCAGAGCACGGCCCCTACTCAGGAAAATATTCCTAAGCATTGAAAGGCACAGCCTGCAGACACAGTCGTAGCGACCCTCAAACGCAAAGCATAAATAGAGATATCCACCACCACAACCAAAGTATCTGCAGGACACTCCCCTACGGAAAAGCGCATCTACCTCCCCAGCTACTTCAGCCAGTGCTTCAGATTCAGCTCACTGTGTACACCCGCCACTACGGCTGCCCGAGCTCAGAACTTCACGAGAGCCTTCCACTCCTTCAGCACGTTCGATGCCACCTCGAAGTCCTGGTTGGCACGGCCCCACTCCTTGTTGCGGCCGTCAACACCAACGGTGGAGACCTTCTGGGAGAACAACTTGGCCTTGTTCCAGGCATCAGAGCCCTCGGGCTCAGAGAAGTAGAGCATGTCCTGCTTGAGGCCGGCAGCCTCCTGGAGGTTGCTTGTCAGCTGCTGGGACTGCTTCGTTTTGATGTAGAAAGGAGTCTTCTCCCAGCGCTCGAAGGAAGCGGCAAGGGCCTTCTTCCTGCGGGCCACCTCGGTGTCACTGCGGGCCTTGTAGACGGAATCAGAATCGACCACGCTGAACTGGGAGTAAGGGTTGACGGGGTTGTCGTTCTGGTTGTAGACATCAGAGACACCACCTCCCAGGCCGAAGAAGGAGAGCTTGGGCACTTCGGCCTGCACTGGACCGGGCGCCGCCACGCTGGCCGCCACCATGGCAGCAGCCAAAGTCGCAGCGGCCTCGCCCCGGAGCTTTGGGGTCACAAAGGCATCCTGGCTGTGGCAAAGCTTCAGAACCGCCACGGCGCCACCGACAATCAAGACCTTAGACAGAAGGGAAGTGCGGGCCATGGCTGCTATGTTCCGAAGAGAAGCGGAGGGTGCAGGAAGGGCAGAAACAACTTCGAGCCGTGAGGAGCTCTTGAGGCAAGGATTTAAGGTTTAGGTATTAGGGGGGATACTAGGAGTTTAGACTGTAGCTCATATAGCCTGTTTAGGGGGTTTTGCGCTGTACGGATTGGGGCTGGGGGATTAGCTTGCGGATTAGCGCTTCGCGTTTATGCAAAATGCCGCAGGCACCCTAGGATTATAACAAGGGATCCCTATTCAGTAGTTGTTTTAAGACATTCCCATGTGATCGCCGTTTCGCACACAGCTTTTGACTGTTGACAGAGAATCTCTATCGTGACCTTCTTCGGCTTTCCTCAGCATGATCTGGATGCCCAATAACTGAATGAAACATCTACATGTACCCCAGCTCCTTGGAGTCTCTGTAGATCTGCACGTGGGTCGTTCATGGTCGTTGGTGGCAAAGCACTTTGAGCCCGGAAGGAAGTGAAGCCCAAAGGCACCTAACCTCAGCAAGTGTTACACTTTAACCGTGAACCCTGAAGCCCCCCCAACCACAAACCCTAAACCGTGAACAGCTCAACACTAGACCCGAATTCCTTGAGCATCATCAATCCTGAGCTTCACGACCCAAGGCAAATCCATACGGCCAGCCTCGGGCACAAAGTTTAGTGCGAAGGTCGTCAGCGCGAAGACCGACCTTCAACTTGCCGGCCGTAGGAACAATCCCCTGCCAGAGAGAAAAACCACCCCTCTCAAATGGTGAGACTTTACCAATCCGTCGCCCCGTCAAGCGAATAAAACACATTGTTTTGGCATTGCAAGTGGAAAAGGCGCATGTTAATGGTATTCAGCTTGACATTCAGCATGGTGGTTCATGTTATCGTTACCGTTTAGTTGTGATCGAGAGGATGGGAGCTTTCTTGTGGTGCTCCGCGTGCTATCATTATGTCACTATCATAGCGCCCGAAAGCGATCATGAGCATTCTTGGTCCTTGCTCTCCAACAACTGGGAAACGTTGTTCAAATCTCTACAATGTCCCTACAGCCACAAAGCACACAGACTATACCCGTCACCTTTTGCTAAGAAAGAGGCTCATGAAGACGCGCCCCTTTGATTCGGAGTCTACGCTGGTGCCGCCGGATCCCACTAGAGAGCTGAAGTCTACTGTGGAGACCTAAACAACCATCTGAGGAACCCTATGCCATAACTGTACAAGGAGTGTAGGACATGTGTATTGAGAATCATTCAGGCTCGTACATTATGCTGATCCCCTTGACAGTTTAGAGTCCCCTACCACTACCCGAGTCCGAGGAGTGTTTTTACAACCCTGTCCTGGGGCACAAGTAGCCCTAATTAGTTATCACTGCAACCATGAAATCCTTGTAGGGCCGCGACGCAAGGTCTACCGAGAGGAAGTAAAGGAGGAGACCTGCGGAGATTCCGTAGCCAAAGCAGGCCAGGGTCTTGAACCTCAGGGGTGAACACATGTTGGATTCCAGTTTGACTAATAAAGAATTTCGGGGTTTATGGCTGTAAGGAGTAGTGCCTGCATTTTGCAGGGTGAAAAGGCCTATACAAGAGATACATGGGGTGTAGAGTGTTTAGGCTTAGGTTTCGATAATGGAGAATCAAGTGGAGAAGAGCATGGAACATGAAATGGACACTGGTGTCCCATGGGGGTTATATAAGTAGCGATTTCAGACACTTTTGAAGTAAGCTGACATACTATTATGGATATGCAGTAAATAGAACAGGTTCCTGTACAGGAAGCCTAGTTCAGGTTCAGCGAGCAGCCCAGATTACTCCATGCTCCTGGGCAGTAGCCCTTGCATTCGAGCCTCTTTGCCATTGATGTTGAGGAACTTACAACAAGTTATTATAACAACGTAACCCTTGTCTTTACTCTCTCTCTCCATATATATATATATGTATATGTAAGTATACATGTATTTCTATGTGTATATATATATATCCATGTTGGTCACTTAGTTCAAGCTCCTTCACAGCAACCCAGTCTTTTGGATCACTGTTGCCAAAATCTCAATGGAGCCTGGTTTGCGTGTGCTGGGCCCCTGGCATGATATATTTTCGAAACATCACGTCCACGGATGAATCCTAAGAGGCGGCAACATGGGATGTTCTAAGTGCCCTTGGGGACCCTGGGGATATGTCGGGTATCAGGGTCCTGTTGGTTATGTTGGTATCCTAAATGGTAACTTACTAGGGCATATTATATATTATGGTATATCATAGTATGTTATAGTTATCGTATAATAGTACTCTCCATTTTCTTTTCCATTATTCCTACATAATCTCTATATTCATTTCAGAAACTTCAAGTTGACCTTTGGAACACAGATTGAGTATCCTGGCGTTCTGCTGGGCAAAGGGGTATAGCACTGCTTTGTCTGACTGACTCACATCGTGCTTCTCAGGCTACATCCTGTGCACTCTCCACAGAGATTAAGGTCTGGTCCATGGGCACAGGGCTGCACAGCCAGAAGAGGGTGTAGAGCATTGTAAGCAGCACCTTCGACAAACAGCTCGAGTGAGAAGGGGTCCTGATCTTCGGAATTGGACTTTGCCCCCACGACATTCTGCAGATCAAGCCAACAAAGAACTGCTTTGATATGAGCTCTTTAATCTAAACTCCTGGGATCCCCCTTAATAAGCGCTATAATACTTCCCTATATAAGCCTTTTTAGACTACAGCTCATATGAAACAACCTGAAACCAGCGAGCTGCGCACCGTCTGAGACCGGAACCCCGAGAATCAAGGAACTGACGTTATTCACAATATTGCCTGCCGGACAAAATGAGCCAAGCTTTCGAAGTGGGGATGCTCATATCCTCGCCCCAAAATTAGGGGTACCTAGTATAATGGAGAATCAAATGGAAAAGAAAATGGAAATGAAATGGAAACTGGGTCTATTTGGAACTCTACAGTCTCCACAGGCAGCACAAAGAACCTGTTTGTTTTTACACATGGCCCACTGGCTAATTAGACTTTGACTTCCTGTCTGTTCCTCTGCGGCACCCTAAACCCTAAACCCTAAACCCTAAAACCCTAAACCCTAAAACCCTAAACCCTAAACCCTAAACCCTAAACCCTAAAACCCTAAAACCCTAAACCCAGTCCTCAATATCGCTGCGCACCTAGAAGAGAGTAGAAGAGGTCCTGGGCCGACTTCACGGTGTCCGCGCTCACCTCCTGCGCAAGGGTTTAGGGTTTAGGGTTTAGGGTTTAAGGTTTAGACAGTATGGTAGTAGATAATAGCTTCCCAAAATAGGGGCATCTCAATATAGACCCCAAAATACCATAGCCCTTTCTGTGGGCAGCCCCCACAAAAGTACCCCTAATTTTGGGAAACCCTAATCCCTATAATCCCCTATATTATAAACCCAGTTTCCATTTCATTTTCCGTTTTCTTTTCCATTTGTTTCTCCATTATACTAGGTACCCCTAATTTTCGACAAACTCCCAAATTTGCGTGTATCGGATGAACAAGAGGATGCCTTTGTCGCTTGCCATGTACCATTGGGGTTTAGGGTTTAGAGTCTTTCTCTGGCTCACGACTCCGACCAAATCATGGGCTGGCATCCGTATGGAATGAAAATTGCAAAGTACGTGAATCCTAAACCCTAAACCCGTAGATTGTTGGGGACCAGATTGGGGCTACTTACCACACGGGTTGTCATTCCTGCATTCCATGCTAACAGCTAGTAAGCAGAGGGCAGGAACGAATTTGGGTCTGCGCTTTCCTGCCAGCAACTAAGCAGAAAGACAATGACTGGGTTGCTGTTACGGCATAGTATGGATACCTGGAATAGAATATGGCTTCCCTACAAGGGTAACTTCATTCAAGTTCCCCAACAGCAGCCCAAAATGATTTCGGGGATCCCTGTAAACCAGGCCCCAGGAATTTGGATTCGAGTTGGTTTAGGGCTTAGCGGTTCAGGGTGTAGGGGTTTCCCACAGGTGGGGTTGCAAGGTACATATGGCAGTTCGTCCAAATTTCTGTTCCCAAAGTGAACATTATGGACAATAAGTTCTCAGATTGTTCCTGAGACCATCAATCATCATGTGGGGGTTCTATTGGAATTAGAAGGGTCATCTCCAGGCTGTGGGATGAGAAAGAAGTGTGTAACAAGTCTACTTATGTAAGAACATAGAAATTTGTTCTCTTCATTCAGGCCCCTTAGGCCCTGAGGATTATGTGGTCCCTTTAAAGATTGTTTAAGGATGGTGCGGAGAAAGTCCCATATAGCAAACCACTTAATCTTCGGGAACACGGTCAGTAAAGCCCAAACCAGCCAACAAAAGACTGGAAGCCACACAGTCTAGGTGGTAGTTTCCCTAATTTACTGTTCCCAAAATGGGGGAAATTTGTATAGGGCCCCGTATTATAATGGGAACCCAAATATAGGACCCCGTATAATAGGGAATTTAGACCAATACCCAGGTAGAGACAAGGACATCCCAAAACCCTGATCAAACCCTAGGCCCACGCGCCCAAACCCTCATCTGCCCTGGAAAAAGAGTTTGGCTTTACATTGGGAGGCTAAAGTAAGAATAACAGCCAAACAAAGTTGTAGGAAACCCTACTTGGAGGCCCATGGGACTTAGTAACTAGTTATAACTGGGATTATAGCCCTACTTATAATTGGGGTAACCCATATAAGCCCATATAAGCCCATGTAGTAGGGGAAACCCCTAGAAACCGCAGAGCCTGGTACTGCTTCTTAAAGCTCTCCGGGACTTTGCTGAAGAGCGAAAGGAGGTCTTTGGTCAACTGATCTGCACCCTGAAAGCTGCTTCAGAACGGGTCGGGGCAGTAGGGCTCAGGGGTCCCCAAAACTCGAAATTCTTAGGATTGCTTTTAGGGGTTAGGGATAGAATATGGGGTATATTATTGGGTTATATAGGTATAATGGAAAAGAAAATGGAAACTACTATATCATAATAGGGTATATATTGGGTATACAGTCCTCCTTAAGTAGATAGAATATGGGGTATATGGGATCTTATTCTGATATACCATAAGCCAGATTCTGTGTACCTAAGGGGGCTATAGATCTAGGAGGCCCCGAAACCTGACATAGACCACATCATCAAGCTTGGGATTGAGGCTAAACCCATCTAAACCCTAAACCCCCAAACCCTGGACCCTAAACCCTTGGGGCTCATGATTGAGGCTCAAGGTGAAACTTCGTGCTACTTGCGGAAGTTGGAGAACTGGCCTGCTGCTGGCAAAGCACCCGCCGCCCACCCCCGAAGGAAGCCCCCAAAGATAGCACTATTCCTTAGGCTGATCCCTAAGAAATGTGCGTAAGGAATTAAGCGGATCGGTACGGGATGTTGGCATGGATGCCAAAATCCAACACCCTACATACATAACGAAGAAGTCTGCTATCTCAAAGCTGGGGTCCTGTTTCAATCCTGGAATACGGGCATCCTCAGCGAAGGACTCCAAGGGGCTCGAACACAATTTTACCTGGACCCCGAAACTTAATGTCCACAAACCCATGTACAAAAACAACGTGAACAACCCAACAGCTGTTGTTGTATATATAAGCATATATATATATATCTTTGGTGTTCAAGGAAGTCTCCCCTACACCCTAAACCTTAAACCCTAAACCGTAATCCCTGCCTTCTGGTACACATCCCAATGCTCCTGCATATGTCTGGCCGACTCCATGATGAGTAGCCCGAAGACTGAAAGCCTCGCTCTGCGGCACCGGACAGGCTAGTGTGAGTTAGGGTTTAGGGTTTAGGATTCAGGGTTTAGGGTTCATGGTTCAGGGTTTAGGTATGTTTCTTGGCACCTTTTTTTCCGCCTGCAGAGAGTTGGAAAGTACCGCTCGTACAGGGGCATGTGCGCGGAAGCATCAGAAACCTCAAAAAAGCCCGAAGCAGCAGGTAGGAAACTTTACGACATCTACCCTTCAGAAGTTCTTTATCAGACTAGAGCTCAGGGTTTAGGGTGAATCTTGGCTGTTTTACAATAATTTCAGAGCCTGAAATCAAGCCAATGAGACCTTCTTCCGACAGCTTTCTTGATAGACTGCTATTTCGTGCGAGGTCGGGTGAGACCGTTGTTTTGCCCAGATGGATTCACACTTCCCCTTGTGGTCCGAAAGCTAGATTTGGGAGTCTCCATAGTCCCCATTAAACGCGCACCCGAAAGGACCCTCGTTTGGACTTCGCCGCGAGAATCCTATCCCCTAGACCCCTACACCGCTGCCAGCGCAATGGTGATAAAATGAGATGAAGTTACTTCTGTTTACTAAGGAAGGAAGGAAGGAAGGAAGGAAGGAATGAACAAGATAATAGAAATTACGGTTTAGGGTTTAGGGTTCAGGATGTTCAGCAGAGAATAAACGAACAGGATATGGGGGCCATCCTTGGTAGCATCTGCCGGCAACTATACGGCTGCATTCCTCCATGCCCTACTGTCCAACAGCAAGTAGACTTGAATGAGGGCTTGACCAAAAGGGTGATCTTTGCAGCTTCGCTTTTGTAGGGGACGATCCCTAATAAACCCGAAGCCCTAAACCCTAAACCCCCAAAACCCCTGAACCCTAAACCCTAAACCCCGGAACCCTAAACCCTAAACCCCGGAACCCTCAACCCCCTAAACCCCTGACCCCCTAACCCCCTAAACCCTGAACCCTAAACCCTAAACTTCCTGAACCCTAAACCCTAAACTTCCTGAACCCTAAACCCGAAATCTAGAAAGCCCAGCCTGGGGCTCTACGATTTGACAACCAAAGGATGCCAAGTGCCAGAGGCTTCATGTAGAAGGGGGGTATACATTAGGTGGACCCCCCCACCCAGTAATAGTGCCTACAAGGGATAATAGGGATTATATTAGGGTCCTCTTATATTCTTATTATACCACTATTACAGGGTGGGGGGTCCTCCTAAGGCAAAAAAGGGGAATGTAGGGGTTATATTGGGGAATATAGGGATAATGGACAACATGTAGAAGTGGGGTATATAGGGAACATAGGGTCTTTATATTGGGGAATATATGGGCTATATTGGGGATTATAGGAACAATGGGTATATATATATATATTGGGGAACATAGGGAACATAGGGGTTATATTGGGGAATACAGGGAACATAGGGTTAATATTGGGGAATATACGGGTTATACAAGGGAATATAGGGATAATGGGAAAGAACATGGAAACTACTATAGTGTAGCAGCTTGCTGACTGCTACGAAGATACTGATCTCCTTAGACAGCTGAACATCCGTATGACTCAATTCTCGCTTGTACGCCCGCCCCTCAAACAGCTAGCTGACATGGACCTCGTTCTCTGGACAACCGCTTCCTGCCCTGGCAAGTGGCGAAAAACTAACTCTAGCCGCCTGGTCAGGTTACAGCGAACAACAGATCTTCAGGAAAATCCACCAAAATCCTAGACCCAAAAATCCTAAACCCCAAAATTCTAAACAGTAATCACCATAAAGCCCCTCTTTGGGGTCCTACATCCTCGCGGAGACTGAGCCCTGAACACGCAAACCCCAACCCCTGATGCCTTATAGCTTTCAAGCCAGCAGGTGCAGGGACCGAGTCCCTGGCAGTGCCAACATGCCCATGGACGCCATCCTTAGGGGAAGAACACGGGTTCATGGGTAACAGCAGGGAATGCAAGAATGGATTCCTGCAGTGGTCCCTGTATGATCGCCGATGCGAATCCTAACCTTGAAAAGCTCTGGGTGGACTTTCTAGAAGCATGAAGGCAGGCATAGGAAGTCGAGAAATGTCGGCAAGCTCTCATGGTTTGGCAAGCACCAAAAAACTCACACAGCACTTTTCTCAACGCGTGCGGCACGCGCCGGCACTCCACGCGGGCGTGGGAGCAAACACGGAACCACACGAGACTGCCTGGGATGCTTCCACTTTGCATGTATTGAGGCTATATTGGGGTAATGGAAAATAAAATGGAAACTTATATAATGGGTTAAAAAGGGGTTACAGGTATATATTTAGAGTATATTGGGGACATGGAAAACAAAATGGAAACTACTATAGTATATTTGGGCTACAATGGGATAATGGAAAAGAAAATGGAAGCTACTATAGTATATTGGGGTTATATAGGGGATATGGGGATAATGGAAAAGAAACTGGAAACTACTAGAGTATATTGGGGTAATGGAAAAGAAAATGGAAAATACAGGAGTTATAGGGGTTATATAAGGTATTACGTGTCTTCCTTTATGTGGAATCTAGATTGTAACTTAAGCACTCCTTTGAAGCAAAACCTCAACCCTTGCCTTGCAAATTCCACAAAATGGAACTGCATGGGTTCTTACATCAAATCACCAGGTAAGGCCTCCCCTTTAATGGTTGCTCGTCTGACCGCACTGCTGTCAGATCACCAAGTGTCCCCCAGCAGGCACATTAGCCCATGTGCCCTGCTGTCATACGCCCTGCACC